TAGTAGATGAAGCAGAAGCTGAGAAAAATGTAAAATGAGATAGAAACTCAATTTATTCTTTAGGAGTTTTGAGATAATTTTACAAATTTGAGATAGTTTTATAAATTTAGCTTATAAAGTATATCTTGAGAAAAAATCCGACATAAAAATTCTCAAAGTTTTTTACTTATGCGTAATTCATTAGAAAAGTTTGTTATCATTTGATATATTAGGTACTTTATCTGAAAAATCAAATGTTTTGAGGATATATTTTGTGAAGCAAACCCAAGTCGACATCTTTTGGAAGATGATACATAAAGCATAAATCAAAAACTTGCTTTCAAGGTCTACATTTCATTATTTTTACTATAGGGTTTTTTGCTGATTAAAACTCGGAAAATTATACAATTGTTCCAGTTTGCAACTTGATTGCCTTTGCTTAATCAATTTTTTGAGACACGCTGTTTTAAAAGTTTTTAGATTTTGTAGAAGTTAGAAACTAGGTTCTCTTGCGTATTTCTGGAGGTTTTCAGATTATAACTAATAGAGCTGCTCTTAAATTGTTCTTAAATCGTAAAAATACACCTTTATATTCTCATTTTGTACTTATACTTTTAAATGCTTTAACTAGCATCAATTCTTTTTCGCTTGGATATTTTTGAGAAAACTTCCGTCATAAATTAAGAGTAAAAAGCGATTTAATAAAAAATTTGCAAGAAAAGTGATAGTTATTGATCCCAAAAGTTGTATTTTTGCTTAAATAGTTTACGGTAGCAATTGAACAAGGGAACCTTGAGGAAGACATTTAAATTTTTTATTGTAATAATCAGACGGTATCAGTTCTAATTTCAGCTCTGCCAGCAAATTGTTCGTTCAATTGATACTATTTTCCTCCTAAATTTTTCAGTTTTGACTAAAATTTCTTGTAAAGTGTGTTCAATAGCGAAAACATGTATTAAACAGAAAGCAAGAATAACCTTAAAACAAAAAAAAATTCTACGGAAATCATGAAAGTTATGTTGCAGAAGCAACAGAGAGATAATCATCAGTTATGAAGAAGATTTTGTTGAATTTGAGCCAATATCGAATAAACTTTTAAGAATTATTTATCCCATTTCTAGTCAATTTTAGCAAATAACTGTTCAATTTTTATCAATTATCTGGAATTTGTAGTTCTTAACATGAAAAAATTCTCACAAGTTGTAATTTTTGTACAATTTTGGGTAATTCAATGAGAAAAAAATGAGGAGGAGTTGAATCATGGAATTTGATCTAGAAATTTCATGGAATATTGTACTTAATGTCCATTTGAATTGAGATTTTTATTGAAATGCACCCTGAACTGGACAAAACAGTCTAGTTAATTACCAAAATAAAAGGTTCGAAATGGAAAATTTTGGGTAAATTTGATTAATTTTTATTTTACCTTCTCGAAAATTACGATTAATTTCACTGTTTTGTGGAAGTTTCAATATTGATTCTGCTATTTTGAGCTTTCTTTTTAGTGTTTAGAGCATTGTGCAACCCGCTTTTTAGCTCAAATGAAGGTAAACTTTATCGTATTTCAATATTTTGAGAAAAAATTGTGGAAAAAATCATTTTTTTATTCAAAATTTTCTATCATTTTCTCAACATGGTGCCAATTAAAATACAGTCTGAACTCAATTGTAAAATCTCTACGTAAAAGTATGTTTAAAACTATATCAGAAGCAACAATACATTAGCCAAAAAAGTTTTTTTTTTCCAAAAACTTGAAACTTTTGCAATTTTTCCAAATACTTTAAATTTTTTGCAAATACTTGAAATTTTTGCAATTTTTTCGCAGTAAATATGACTTTTTCCGAGATTTCAGTAGGTTTTAGCATTGTTTAAAGTAGATAGTGGTAACAATATGTAATAAATTAGGTCAAATAATAGCTAATCTTATCGTGTTTTGGATATTTTTGAAATTTTTTTCATAAAAATTCCAATTTTTTTACCCAAAAACTCTTACCATTGACTTACCATGTATCAAAAAAATAATTAAAAGTCCTTCATTACATAACCCACACGTAACTAACTTTTGATATTTACAAACTAGTTAACACGCGCCAACATTTTTGAGAAAAACTAGACATTTCCACTCAAAAACCAAAAAAATTACGTTTTTCTTACCATTATCTTACCATCACACAAACCATAAAACCTTACCATCGGTATTCCCTATCTTAATACCTTGTAGACTCTATACCCAATGTTAATACACAGCTGGCAGACCGGATGCTCTCTTCCCTATCTTAAAACATGAGGGTCTGCCACCTCCCCCCCTTAACCTCCAACATCTACTACTCATAGCAGTTCCAGTTTATTTCAGTAACCAAATCTAAGTTTAACGTACCGTCTATTATCGAATGATTTTGACAGTGCTAGGTTATTTTAAAATTAAAGATGGAAAAACATAAAAATTAAAATGAGATAGATATTTTGAATTTGTTGCTATAAACTGATAGAAAAATTTAATATTTTGACGCTATCAAGTTGGATTATAATCTTAGTTTATTAACTTTTTTTGTTACTAAGTATTCGAGCTGAATCCGCGTGTAGCCAAATCTGTCAAAATGACTATTCTCCTCGCGTCGTCCACTGTGCCTTGTCCTCTGGGTACTGCTAATTCTGCTTGCCGCTTGCCGGATTAACTTATAATTATTTTGTTTAAATTTTGAACTTAATCGGAAAAGTATTGAATTTATATTAGATTTTTATTGTGAAAATTTTCAGTTTTTTCAGTTTATAAGACAAAGTAAGAATAAAATTTTAAAGAAAAAAAGGAAAACAGAGAAAGTTCCATAGTAAAAAACTGAGATCGCAACTTGTCTCTCAAGTGAAACTAAGGCGAATAAAAAGAAGTTGGTCGGTCTGCTGAGGAGAATTTCACGTGACTCAGACTTTGCTAAAGTCCGCTTTTCTCATCATTTACTTATTCCGCCAGTGCTTTGCCCTCTTTAATCATGGGCTTCTTCATCAGTTTCCCATGTTGATTTTTGCAAGCGAAAATCAATCTTACTTTCATCCCGGGGACTTACACATTTTGCAAATGCATTTTCAAATTTAGTGTTCAAGAACCCCTGAAAACTCATTTAAAAAATAATGGAAATTATCGCCGTATTGCCTGCCTTTCAGGGCAAATAAAATTAAGCAGTGAGATTTTCTGTCTCCTAATAAATTTGCATAAAAAACCCCTCTTATTTTGAGAACAAATATAACAACAGCGATAATTAAAGTGTAGTTGAATACTACAGCAGGAACAAAACAGATTAAGGAAATCGAGTCGTATAAAACTTTTGGTTAGTTTTTTTGGTGTTTCAGTTTCTTTTTATTTGCGAAGTCCGCTCAAAAACCAAATGAAATTATTAGAGCTTTTAATTATTGTTTTTAGGAGAAATTATTGTTTGGTAATTGATGTTTTTGCAAAAGTATTTAGGAATGTATATTCTGAATCAAAGCAAAAATAATTGAAATAGGGGCAAGAAAAAATGGAGCTGAAGAAATTTGGAGTGAGCAAAAAATCATTAGAGATTTATTTACAGATCAAGTTAACATCACCCCTCAAAAGCTCAAAAGTTGCTTCGAGAGGGTGAGAAAAAGTTATCATTTAGATATTTTTTCCAATCAGAATTGAATTGATTTACGAGCAGCGCCCAGAAAGTGTGATCCATATTAGTCGATGGCATGGAAGATCTTTTATTTCTTCTAATTAGGGGGGAATATGTAAGCTTAAACATTAAGGGAAGAACATAAACGTATAACTCTTCAAACTTCACACAGGTTGTCCGTTAATCGACAATTTAATTTGACACGGTTTTGGTGCTGCCTAAATTGTTGAGTAAAGCCAACCCTGGTTGAGGTTTGCGATTTATGTTTTAACCAATCTGACACGGTTTGGACACTGTTTTGGTGCTGCCTAAATTATTGAGTAAAGTCAACCCTGGTCGAGGTTTGCGATTTATGTTTCGACCGAGGCGGGTCAACACATGTCAGAGTTTGACCGCAAATCCATAGTCGAGAAGGCACTGTAGCCAAACCAGAAGTCGAAACATAAAGTCGAGTCGATTGATACATACATACAGATTACAAATTGTTTACCACAGTCAAAGTTTTTTTTAGTAAAAACAGTTTTTTTGCTCGGTCAAAAGGTCAAAATAATTTTCACAGTGGAAACGCTTCTCAGTCGAGAAAACCCTGCGTCGAACGCAGTTGAATTGTTTTTTTTTCGGTAGAAAAAACTTCTCGGTCGAAAATTTTTTCCTCTGTCAAACACAGTCGAAATGTTTTTTTTCTTGTTCGAAATTCTTCCCGGTCAAAACAACTCCTCGGTCAAACTCAGTAGAAACGTTTTTCCTCGGTCGAACAAAGTCAACACGTTTTTTATCGGTCGAAATTCTTCTCGGCCGAACTCGGTTGAAACGCTTTTCCTCGGTCAAACTTGGTTGAAATGTTTTTCCTCGATCGAAACACAAATTGCAAACCTCAACCCGGGAAGCAATTAACTCATCATAGTAATCTAAATCAATTAAAACATAGCCAACTGACAATTGGAAAAGAGTAATTCATGCAAAGAAACTGAAAAAACCGACTTGTTTTTTAACAAAAGTTTTCAAATTTTGAATTTCGAAGAAAAAATTGGATGACCTTAGAGCTCTTTGATTTTGTAGAATAATTTATGATGGAGACGCTTTTGCTAAAATTATTCCAATTTGAAAAAAACTGGATCAATAGGTAAGACTTTTGTTTCGCTGGGAAAGCTGATAATTAATTTTCATTTTCGAAATTAGAAGTCGATCACGTTTTTCGTGACCTTTACAATTTTGCTTTTTTTAAGTGGAGTTTGCCTTGCTTTTAACAATAGAAAAGCCCTGAACTTAAAATTAAATCATAAGTCAAACCTCGCTAAACCAAAATTGAGCGTGAAAAAATTTTAAGACTTTTTACTGAAAAAAAAATCAGCAAGATCTATATGAGAGTACTCACTTCTTTCATTACTCTTAATCAGAATCTAAAACAATAACATCGCTCGAACGGCAAAAATTTTTATGCCGAAAAAGCTTATTAAATTGGGAGCAAGCTATCACTGCAACTGCAGGTTTGGTAATTCGATAACAGTTGATATCGCCGATTGAAAATCGATAAATTTGGGTCTAGTTTCATTGTGTCTAAATTTGTTTGTTTTGTTTGAATAGAAATTTCTACCAGCACACACCCACAATGATCTGTAACTGGACAAAATGCATGGGTAAATCTTTTTTCCTTTCCAAATTCAAAGGATAATTTGTTTTCAAATCCCAAAAATTTATTGGAAAGTAATGCTTCAAGAATATTTTGATGTTATGATGTAACACACCAAGAAAGGGGGGTGTAGCCGAAATTGGATTTGCATATGTTGCAGGGTGTTCTCATCACCTCCAAGTAACTGTTCTCTGGTGGAGTCTTTGACCGTATTTTGCCAGTCGGGACACTTCTTCGCATCATTGTAGTCCTTGTAGCTCTCTACTCCACACGCCCCAAACACTATCTGTGAATAACAATCTAAATTTAACATTCATAAATTACATTGCTAACAGACAGTTGGGAAAAAGTCTATGGACGCAGGAAAACAGAAACAAACGTTGACTTAGTTTTTGAAACAGTCTCAACTTTTGAATTTCAAGGACCACAGCAGGGGCGGATCTGGGATTTTCTCGAGGGGGGAGGATGGTGGGGGCTAGGCAGATTTTCAAAAAAAAATCTTCGAAAATTTCGTCGACTTTTTTATAGGTCGACCGAATTGATTTTTCGAGCTCTCCCTAAGCATGGTTTAGTCCCCGTTTTAGGCAGTTTTTCTCGGCCAAAAATGGATTTCTTAAAAGGTACCAAAGGGGGAACCCTTTGGGTCGGCAGGAAGTCGAATCCCTGAGGGGGGGGGGGCGTCCGCCCCCGCCCCCCTAAATCCGCCCCTGGACCACAGGACTTAAAAACAATGTTTTCACTTCGTTCATATGAAACTTTCGCCACAAAAAAGTCTTACCACAAAAAACTGGTTGCGCGGAAGGTTTCACTCGAAAAAATGGTTGCGCTGAAAACATAGTTGGATAAGTAACTGAACGGAAAAAAAATCAAAAACAATTGACTTGTTCTTTTTGTTGAAAGTTTCAACTTCTGGTTGAATCAGTTTTGGATACTCAATTTTTTAGTTTCGGCGACATATTTTATTTAATACTTTTTGAATCATATAGCTAACAGACAGCTTGAGCCAATGAACACAAGTAACAGAAAAAAACATATTGGCTTAATTTTGAAAAGATGGTAGATTTCGAATTTGAACGAAAAAACAAAATTGTTAGTTCTAATGCTCTTTGATTTTCTACAACAAACTCAGATGTTAAAAAGCTATCTAGAGTCAACTTTCACATATTCATTTTATTTGAAACATAGCAAACATACAGTTGGAAAAGATTTAATCAGCGCAAGAAAACAAAAAAAAACATAGTGAATTGTTTTTCGAAAAAAATCTCAATTTCCGAAATTCCAAGAAGAAAAACAGATCGCCTTTAAGCTCTTTTAACTTTCAAAACATTTTATGATGGACATTTTGATAAAATTAACCCGATTGCAAAAATGGATCAATAGCTAATCTTTTTATTTTGCCGTGAAATCCAAAAATTAAACACCCATTTCAAAACTAGAACTCAATCAGATTTTTTATGACCTTAAAACTTTTGCTGTTCAATACTGAAGTTTGCGATTATTAACAAAAGAAATGAACTTAACTTAGAAAAACCAAAAGTCAAACAGCGAAATTAAACTTTTACACAACGAAGCACTCAGAACTAATAGAGAAAAATTGACTGAGGTTGCCCAATTTCTGCTGTACCAAACACTTGTTCCAACTCTTGAAGAAAACATGGAGTATTTGTGTTCGGATTGGTTTTTATGATCAGACAAATTTTGAACTTTTAACATGCAGTGATAATTAGGATTGAGTTCAATATTATAAATCTTAATTTTTCAGGCTTGCAGTTAACGCGTAGAGATGACAGCGAATTGATCTGGCTCAGAAACAAAATGAAAAAAAAAGTCACACTTTCGTTTTTTTGCTTTCATTTCTTCCCCCATTTTTAAAAGTTTCATCGCTTTAAAGCTTCATGTGGTATCATATTACAACCCAATTGTTAAATATTTTGAATAAAAAAAATCATCGAAAATGATGTTGAGCTTCGCAAAAATAGATCGAAAACTTTTGTTTTCAAACTCAATTACATGATAATTATTGAGAAGCTGACCTACCCTGCCATGATTTCGAAGTCTTATTACAATTTTTAACAACCTTTCTAGAGATTATCAAATTTGTTATCTAGCTTTCTTTTTGCTTAAATCAGTTGTTTACAAAATCAAGTAGCAGGAAACTTCGAAAAAATGGTTTCTGAAAATTCAATCAGCTTAGCAATCAGATCCAGCAACCTCAGCTGAAAAGCCTTTTTCAATTTTATGGGAAGTCAGAATTTATAAAACGACCCATGTTCGGTTATGGTAAGACAATACCGGTTCTCGTTTTAGAGACTCCGACTATGATAAGAGCACTCAACATCTCTCTCTATCTTCTTTGTGTCTCATCCCCTATAAAAAACGCAGGATTTGGAATGTTTGCTGTCCTCCACACTACTTCGTTGTCTTCCAACTCTAGTATTTTTTTTGCCTTTTTAACTCAGATTATTTTCACAGAGTTAGCCCAGGACCTTCTGACACTAAAGTATTTCGAGCTTGGATATTTTTTAAATTTAGCCTTCTTTTGCTTACACTCATATAAGTTATTGATGCATCTTTTGTAGAAAAATAGTGGTTTTCAGTTTTTTTAAGATTTATCTTTTTTCTGGGTTATTCAAACTAATGTTCCAAATTTTTTCGCTGCGCCTAATTTTTTTTGAGAAATTTTTACGGAGTTCTGTTCGTGTAACGCCCTAAAGATGCCCGTTACACGAATTAAGACAAACCCGCACCGAAGTTTCATGGATAATAATCGATTATAATGGATTTTTGTAGGGAGTCTCAATAAAATTACAAAAATAATCGATTATAATCGAATATGTTGTGTAACTTTACCTTTAAATGTCTTTTAAACTGCGTATTGTTGAAATGTACCAATGTTAATAAAATCCAAATAAAATAATTTATAATTATTCTTTATAATTTGTTTTGTAATTTTACATCTTTTGCATGCTTTTTAAAAGATGAGTCGTGAGATAGCTGATTCCGAACATAAAGCAATTGATTGGATGTTCAAGAATTTTTTTTTGAAAAAAAAATGGATTATAATCGATTATATTGGATTTAGGGTTGAAAAAAAATCGATTATATTGTTGAGAAAAATGGATTATAATCGATTATAATGGATTATAATGGATTTAAATTTCTCCAAAATAATCGATTATAATCGATTAAAAATCCATTATGTGGTCTAAATTTGACATGATAATCGATTATATTGACAACATTGTAGTCAACGAAAATCCATTATAATCGATTATTATCCATGAAACTTCGGTGCGGGAAGGACAAAGCTAATACTTTTGGTTCTGAATAAAACACAGGAGACAACGTTTCGGAGCAAAAAATTGACACCAAGTTTCAATCAATTGTACACGAAATTGAAATATTGTGTTCTAAAAAAGCGGAGCTTAATGCCAATCGAAATGCAATTGACGTGTTTGCCAGACGTTCCGTTTTCTTCCATGAAAGATGAGATAATTACGCTCATGAATGTCGGAAGCTTTCAGCGGAAACCTACTTTTTGGGGCCATTTTAAATTGCTCAGAAACGTCAACTTAACTACAGAAACATGCGGCTAAACGTTGAAAGATACAACAAGTCTCTTTGATTGTCATCCTTGTTCCTCAGTTACGTCTAGACTGAACATCAAAGTGTCTGCTCTCGTTTCGATTGGCAACGCCGTTAACAGGCATCCGACTACTCAAGCCGTTCCACCGTCCGCTTTAGTGAGTCATGGGATACCGCCGCAAATCACCATCATAGCAAGAAGTCGACGCGGCAGCAAATTTTGCCGCCTTAGGGCTCTTTCAACCTTTACTAACCCTCTTGCCAGTTTTTTCCGGAGAAGCAATGTCAATGCCGTCCTCAGTCACAATCCAGGTTTCATCATTGACAAATAAAAACGATGAGCCAATTTATGCGCCCAGGACGCCGAACGCCATTTTTTCCTCCTCCACAACCAGCTAATAGAAATCATCTCCAAATCAGCAATTTTCAGCAAACTGCATCAACGTTGAGATGTCAAATATTTACTCATCATTTGCAAGCCCGGAAGCTCAAAATCAAGGAACGCAATCCTACTGAACTTGGAAACTTCAGTCTTTCTGTCTCAAATCCAATTGACAGGACAGCGATTCCACACTCATCATTATAAAAAACTTGGAACAAGCGATCTTTTGCCAGTACAAGACAGCGTATTAATCGATTTAACTGCACATACATTCAAACACTCTTATGCCAACTTTTAGCTGTCAAGTTAGCAACCAATTAATCACAACCAATGCATCGCCTTCAGCCAATCTTTTCGAAAAGAGAAAATTCCCCGCAGCAATCCGCCCAACAATTCCCACGGACATCAGCCGACACTTATCGCTGTAGTCATTGACTTGACGGCAGAGCTTGTTTATGAACACAAAAAAATATGGATTAGAAGCCAGTCGACACGATATTTGGAACAAATTAAGACTGTCTGTCATACATTCAAATCAGGAAATTTTTACGACCACTTCAGAATACACAGCGTCAATCAGACCGATAAATATGCAGCCAGCACGAGCACTGCGAATATTCAACCCAAAATTTTCACATCATCAATGAGATCAACAGAAAGCATGTCAAAACTAACCAGCTTTTATTGTATCTAAGAAACAAGCAAGGAACAGCACAGACCGACTTTAAGAAACAAGCAGGCGACTTCAAAAACCTTCAGGAAGTTAGTTTCAATTGTCCAGTTATCTGTAGTTGACGTAAACAATAGTATATTGGATTTGACTCCTCAACGCGGCAATCGACACCACAGACCATACCAGACGGAGAACACGACGCGTCTAGAGTGACTCGTCGTTGAAGATACATAACTCTCAGTCGCAGATATGAATGCAACGAATCAATGTACAACTCTGCACTCCAACGCCTTGAAAACGGTTTCGAACACAAAGCGACGACACGATGACGATTCCTTCCTTTGACGATTTGAGAGAATCAACAGTCCGAGTTTACGTCAAAACAGATGCTAAAAGGACGCCGTGAAAATCTTGCCGACATTGCTTGACACTTTCACAACACTTGGACTTGGACTCCATCACGATCTCCAATCTACAACGATCGCTCAATTTTTTGAAAACCGACACCTTTGAGACTGGAATCGAATCGTTACATCCTTCAAAAAAATCTTCCTTAATCTTCTCGAATCAACTTGACTACAGATTTCAACGTCTACACTGAAACCTGCAGCGCCCTCATGGACTTTCAAAAGGCCGACCCAATAAAAACACAGCCCGAGCGTTCAGCACAAACTTATATCAGTCTTTAAATAATTAGTCACAAAGAGATTTTTTGGGGGAAAACGCAGACAACCCTACGCTGAAAAACGCCAGCCTTTTATAGGAATGAACACCAAAGAACAATTGCGACATGCCAGGTTTTTACAATTTTCCTTCAATTGCCTCAGCACCCACAAATTGGCCGATCGTCCATCAACACAGATCTGTACAGCAGAAGCATGCAACAAGAAACACCACACTCTTCTACACAACAGCTACAATTATATTGCAAAAGTATCGACAGGACGCAAGGAAACAAAAAATAGGATTGCCAAACAAAGCGATAATACAAATAAATGCTTTTTCCAGCTCAATGATATGCCAATCGACTAGCTAGATCCCGGTAACGCCGATAACGAATTTGTATTACAAGTCTATTCTTACATGTCTCATTATTGCTGGTTTGTGCCAGCAAAATTTGTTTGTTGAAATTTTTGTCTCGCTTTAAGTCAATCCGGATTTCGCAAAAACGATTCAATTTAATCAAGCTTTTGACTTTATCCTACACAGTTTCTAATTAGACCTATTGCACACGTTGGACATAATAAAAAATGTCATTAAGCCTGAAAAAATGCTCCCAGTACTAAATGCTTTTAGCCTTCCAAAACCATTCTCATTAGTACCCTTTTAACTGGAACAGGCCTTATCTCAAACCTCCTAGGAATTGTCTTGAGATTTCACGCGGAGATTTCACGTCTTGAGATTTTTCACGTTTGTAAAAAAAAGTTCAACACTAACTACGATTCCGTTGAAAGGACGACGGCAAAAAGACTCACCATTATTTTGTCACACCAAAATACTAGTGCAACGGATTCACATTGAGATGCCTGCTACTCCACTCGACACATTGAAAAAAACAATGCTGCAAAATTTTCCACTTATCCATTCAACTATTTCAAAACAAATGGGTTGATAAACAAGATTTAATTAATGTTCGAACAGGGAGGTTTCAACAATTTCAAAATGATTCAAAAGGTTCTAAAAATAAACTTCACCCAGCGCAGACTACTGATTTTTGTTTTCTCAAGTCTCGATCCTTTTGACGATAAAACTGCGGAATTAAATGCAACTTGACTAGACTACTGAAACTCAATGAGACAAATAGCTCAATCAACCTGGAGTATCTGACGGAGATCAACGAATGGGTTCTCCGATTATCTAAATTCTCCGCTCATCTAAATTCTCCGTGACAAACTCTCCGCTTAGCTAAACTCACAAAAAAAATTACACGAGGACCTCTAAAAAGTCGTATAAAAACCTGCCGAAGCCACTAGATTATTAAACAATCTTTAATTTATGTTCAAACAGGGAGGTTTCGACTATTTCAAAATGATTCAAAAGGTTTTTAAAAAAGACTTCACCCAGCGCAGGCTACTGAATTTTGTTTTCTCAAGCCTCGATCCTTTTGACAAAAAGGCTGCGGAACTAACTGCAACTTACCTGGACTACTCAAACTCAATGAGACGAATAGCTCAACAAACTTGGAATATCTGACGGAGATCAACGAATGGGTGGACGAACGCAACGAAAATACTTCAGAAAAAGATCAAAAATCTCGAACTAGAGCTTTGTGTCTTCTCCCCCTGACAAACGTGTTATCTGACACAAAAGATTCGGCAACTCTCACACCCAACCATTTCGCCACAACCTGTCACCCAAACTAATTCAGCCACGTTATGCTACGATTTCGACTACATGGAAATAGGTTCAAGCCCTCGCCCAGAAACTCTGGAGACGACTGCTACAAGATTACCTGTCGACAATCAGTCGAAAAAAAACTTAATGAAGCCTGCTGAGACCCGAAACCAAAAGATGATGTCTTGATGCTCAAATACTTAACGCATCGAGGCCTGCGGCCCCTGGGACGGGAAATCCGTAATTTTTCAAATCCGACGATCAAATGGAACAGTCAAATCAAATATTCAAATCAAAGTGTACAAACCAACCACGAACGACTCTTTAGACCTGCAATAAAAACCTGGTTAGTTTTAGAAGAAAAACAGCAGAAGCCCGGACGATTCACAATCAGATTCACCAGTTTTGAAAGTGATTACAGACATTTCTTTGAATACGACAAGTACTACTGACAAGAACCAACAACACCAACTACTGACTTGATTTGCAACCTGCAGTGTTCGTGCCATGTTCCCGCCGACTATATTCTCGCCGCTTTGACGCTCGTGTCATAAACATTCAAAACCTAATCATACAACATTGAACACTTGACAAATGTCAATGATCTAATTAAATTCAAATAAATATATTTTGAAGAAAAAAATTTTAACTATATTCGCAACCAGATCCCCGCCATTCAAATAAGTAGCCTTTTCTTTTTTCATGGGATATCACATGTTTTGTAACGAACCATGTTCGGGCATGCTGAACAAAACCGGGTCTCCTGTTAGAGACATTTACTAGGATAGAAGCTCTCAATATCTCTCTCTCTCTCTCTCTCTTTCATCACCTACGGGATTCTCAAGTTTTGTTACGGTTTACTGCCCCCTTCACTACTTCGCTTTACCCCAACCCTTCTTAGTTCTCTTGCCTCATTTTGCTTTTAGAGATTTAGGCCCGGACAGGCTTCATTTCAATGCATCTATTTAGACCGATAGACTAATAAACTTCCAGCGGCACATTCGATTAAATGGTACCCTTTTGAAAATTTTTGTATTAAAATAAACGAAATTAATTAAAAAAAACACTAAAAAATGCTCATATGAGCTATTTTCAAAAAAAAAATTGGCGCTTTTTAAAATTTGTTGCAAAAAATGGCCATTACAGGGTTTTGGCGTTGGAAGCTTATTCAAGCTTCACTCACTCTGTCATTCAATCTATAGTTATTTAACTAACCTGTAGAATGTTGAAGATGATTGACTCGTCGTTGGTGGCATATTCCGATTCGTATCCATACAGAAGCGTCTCCAGATTTCCCTTCAGTTTACTCAAAACCACCGCAAACAAGATGCACCATGCCAGCAGAATTATTATGAACACTGAAACAAAATATTGGATAACCATGCATTTTGAAGTTAGTAGTTAAGTATCTTTTATCCTCTGACATGACGTTTATCGGATCATATGAATTTAGTAGGCCAAAATCAAGTTCATATGAGAAAACTTATAGAATGCAACATTTTTTTTTACTTCTGGGACTGACTTGGGTGAGCAGTCACATAGAAATTGAGTCCTTGCGAAAAGCGTCGCAGTGAAACAAAAAAGGCAGAAACGAAATTTTTGAAATTTAACAGTTTAAGCGAAAATTACGCATAATTAGCTTAATCAGTTTTGATTTTAAGAAATTAAACGATGCCTCACCAGGTTTGAATCAAAAACTTTTTAAAGATCGTAAAAAATGTTCAACCCTTTGGGAAAACCATATCTTTACAAATTACCAAAGAGACTATACAGTCATAATCTAAACAAGACTGCTCGTATCAGGGGGAAGCCCTGAATGTTCCGACTGCCTTTTAAGTTTTATGGAACAGAAATAACATAGATATCATTACAAAAATTTAAATGTAATGAAATAAAAATGAAAAAAAATCGAAATTTTAATTATTTTTTCTAGGAAAATCATCCCCCACACGCCATATAAAGTACAACAGAATAAGTTTCGCTCCTGGTAACAAACCAATTATGGCAAATAAGCTTCTGTCAACCAATTTGGAACGATTTCTAAGATGGATTAAATCTCCGCTTACGCGTTAATAGCGCGAACTATATCGCGCGTTAATTGTCCCAAATTGGCCAAAATGGCAGTATTGAACCCCCAATAGCTTTACGAAAAATGATCACAGGTGAAATATCTTTTCAAAATTAAGCTCAGGACAACAATACTTTGTCAATGATTAAAAAAAACTCTGTCAAAAATGGTTAGTTAAAAAGTCAAAATTTGTCTGAAGAAAAAAACCCAACCCGAGCAAAAATATTCCGTTACTTTCGTATCGAAAGTCGAAACAAAAAATCCAATTTTTATTTCAAGCTGTTTCTCTCGCACGGTTTTCCGGTTGCATTCCTCGGATTGAAATTCAAATTGCGCTCTACAAACGATTTTGTTGTGCGAATAAGTTACAACATTTTGAAATAAGGCGCAAAGAAGATGAAAAATTACCGAACCAAAATTTCATGAAAAACAGTTAATCAGTTTACGACGTCGATGTGATTAAAAAACAATTTTCCTGTTCTCAATTTGATGGAAATTTTGCTTTGAGAAACATAATCATAGCTAGTAGAGGATTCCCTCCACCCTCAAGGATTCGACCCCCTGCTGACCCAAAGGGTCTCGGTTTGAACTATTTTGAGATATCCATATTTAGTTGACGGACCTTGAAATATTTCTAAAGGCGACTTTGGCGCCAATAATTACTAATGACGCAGAAAATTTTGCCAGAACAAAGTCTTTTTAGTGCTTTGGGAGAGCTCGGAAAATCAATAAAGTCAACCTAAAAAAATCGACTAAATTTTCTCAAACTTTTTGAAAACCTACCCCTCTTCTTGAAAACTCTGGATCTGCCCCTGTTCATAACAAATTATCTTAGCAAAACTGTAATGCAATCTGAAGGAACAAACAAAATATATCCAAGAGACAGTTGAACATTTATCAACTTTAACTGTAATTTTTAAGATAAACAAGATTGCTCGTATCAAGGCGAAACCTTGAACGTTCCGACTGCCTTTTAAGGTCTATGGAGCAGTCATAACATTAAAAAATAAGATAAAATAAAATTTAAAAAAACGAATTTCAAATTTGAGATTTTTCAAATTTGAGATTTGAGACTTTTTGTGAAAATCATCCCCCACACGCCATATTAAATACAAAGTGATAGGTTTTACTCCTAGTAACAAATCAATTATGGGAAAAAAGTTTCTTCATCTTATTTGGAACGATTTCTAAGGTGGATTGAAATTCTTCCTACGCTTTAAAAGTGCGAAATCTATTGCTTGTTAATTGTCTCAAATTGGCCAAAACGGCAATCTTTGAACTTCTATAACTTCACGAAAAATAATCAGAGATGAATTTTTTTTTCAATTTTGAGCTCAGGACAATACTTTTTAGGTTATAAAAAATATTACGTCAAAAATGGGTAGTCAAAAGGTCGAACTTTTTCTGAAGATAAAAAAAACCAACCCCGAGCACATATTCCGTTATTTTCGTTACGAAAGTCGGAACAATAAAAAGTAAACTACAAAAAACTTTAGAGCGTGTGCCACATTTTTTTTTCAACTCGCAAGTCTTCTAGCGAGGAAGAATAACAAAATTAAGCAAAAATGACTGCCCTACTCATCGCCTCCATTATTGCGTCGCTTGCAATATTTTTTTGCCTCAACTGTAATTTGCAAAAGTTTCAGGCTGGATCAATCCATATCATAAGCTTCAATAGAAATGATCAATTCGCATTGTTGGTAATTTTAAGGACCTCATATATCACAAAATATAACACAGGAAATATTTGTTGTTTAGTTTCAAGCTTGATAGTGTTCTAAGCTTGCTTAGATGTCTTGCCAAAATCTGTACATTGTAGGATGCCTTGTTTACGAAAAACTCATGTTTCTTTGTTCAGACGGAGTTTTTTTTTCTGTGGATTCTAAGTTGTTTTCTGCTGAGCAAATAATTTTTAACTGAAATGAAAAACAAATAAAAAGTGTAACAGTTTCAACACAAAAAAGTGGTTGGAATGATAACTTTGTAGCTTAGCCAACAACAATTTCAAGGATCAAAGAATAAGTACACTAGCTTGTTTTATTTTGAAAAAAGTAAACTTCTGGATGAGTCAATTTTTGATAACTCAGTACTGTTTCAGGGACGTTTTGACCTTTTTTTGTTAAAACTAACCAAATTTGGGAAAACTGGCTGATTAAGTATGTTTTTTCCGCCACAAATTGTGAAAACTAAAATACACATTCGAAAACAAAATTTATTCAAGTTCTCGATACTTTTTCACTTTTGATGTTCGATATTTGAGTTTGTCTTTTTTTAAGAAAAGAAATGAACCAAACCTCTAAAGCAAAACCAAGCAATCAATCGTCAAACTGCGAGAAAACTAAACTTGATCCTAAACTTTTTTCAAAAAATCTTTTTCTGAAAAAAGAAACAAAAACAAATTATCACCATTGCCTAATAGTCCGATCCATAGCTGAATAAAATTACCTCATTAAGAGAATACTGAATTATTAGGTAATTTTTATACGGTAGTCAATCTAAAACTTTAAAACCACTATCGAAACTATAAGTCTTTTTTGCCATTTTACGCATTTGCTTTTGATAGTACAGCTTGTCTTCCTTTCATCAAAATTCAAAGCGAGGAAAATCAAATTTGAGCAGCAAGTTTTGAACATTTTTTTCCTGAAAAAATCATCTCAACCTATATAAACTTCTTCACTACGTTAATTGACACTTAGGTTATTTTTGTAATTTTCTGAAGAAAAAACCCACCCCGAGCACAAATGTTCCGTTGTTTTTGTTACAAAAGTCGGAACAAAAAAGCAAACTTTAAAAAAACTTTATAGCATGTTCCACAAAAAAATTTTTTTCAACTCACAAGTCTTCTAGCGAGAAAGAATAACAAGAGGAAGCAAAAATGACGGTCCTACTCATCACCTCCATTATTGCATCGCTTGCAATAATTGTTTCCCTCAACTGTATTTTGCAAAAATTTCAAACTGGATGAATCCATATCATAAGCTTCAATAGAATTGAACAATTAGCATTATTGGTAATTTTAAGGACCTCGTATATCACAAAATGTAAGTCGATATTTTGCGATTTTACGCACTTGCTGTTTGAAAGTACAGCTTGTCTTCCTCTTCCTTTTAACAAAATTCAAAGCGACGACAATCAAATTTGAGCTTCAACAAGTTTTGAACATTTTTTACTGAAAAAATTATCTGAACCTATATAAACTTTTTCTCTACGTTAATTGACACTTAGGTTATTTTTTGTATTTTGGGAGAGCTCGAAAAATCATTTACTTCGATCTGAAAACTGGTAACGAAATTTTCCGATTTTTTTTTCAAATTCCCCCTCGAGAAAAGCCTAAACTTGCGCCGGAAGTTTATCATGTTTGCTTAGGTATCGAATAAAAGGAATGAATCAAACTATGTTCAGTTTTTTTTATATTATCTTTTAATTTTTTCAAATAACAAACCATTATTTCTCAGCCCCAATAAATGATGAAAGTAGTTTAAAATTTGAAAGCACAGAAACTTACCATCATATCTGTTTTTGAAATATGTTCTCACAAAAATAAGTTAAAATGACAGCAATTATCTTTGGCAAATATAATTAAATACCTAATTTTTCCGAGGCAGCCAACCTTACCTTAAGAATTAAATAGAAACTTACCTATTGACAAAATAATGAGTAGAATGGCGTAAATGCACATGCACACTTTCTGGCAGCAACAGCAGGCGACAATGCCCAGAATGCAGATGAGTGCCAGTCCCCCAAAAATGGCATAGCACACATAGTAGATGTACTTGAGCTGACTCACCTACAAAACCGAACAAGATTGCTCGAATCAGGGCGAAGACCTGATTAGTTCGACATCCCAAATTTGGTATTAGAAATAAGTTTTTGGAACACAAAAATGAAAAAAATTTCAAATTAAAAGAAAGATTTATATTTGGACAAATGGTGAATTTAAACCTTCTGCCACACTTACCAATCAAGTAAGAAATTTTTTCTTATATATTACGCGTTATTGTTCTGACCATAATTTTTTGTTCAGTCAATTTTCCGACTTTTTAACTAAACAGTTTCGACAAAACTTTTTTTGTAGCACCTGAAAAATGTTTTTGTCTTAAGTTTGATATGATAAATATTTTTTCTATGATCTGTTTTCACAAAGTTAAAATTGAAACAACTTTGACGACCTCAAAGTGAGACAATTAACGCGCAATATATTTCGTTATATTAAAGCGTAAGTGGCAAGTTCAATCCATCCAAATTGAACTGAGGAAGGCAATTTACTCTTTTTAATACATTATTACAAGCAAAGTTTCTCACTTGCTACTCTGCATAGCTTGTGCGGGTTAAAATTAAGAAAAACTATGTGTGAAAAAAAATTAAACAAAAAAAAACATGTGAGCAACATTAGAAGACAGTCGAAATTTTTGGACGGTCGAAACACGGTCAGTTTTTGAGGATAGCCGGAACAAGTTTGCCCTGAGAAACGAGCAGTTTTGTTTGAAAAATAGCAGCGTTTTCGCTTGCCTCGATTTAATTTGTAACAATTTTTGAGTCGGCTCAACTTCACTCTAAATGCGCTTAAAAACGGATAGATAGCGCGCATTAACTATCCCAAGTTGGCCAAATTGGATCTTTCTAAACAGCTAGAAACTTAAAATATAGCCAACCGAAGATAGGAAAAGATTACTCAACGCATGTAAACATAAAAGAAACACTGACTTTGTTTTAAAAAAATCTCATTTCGAATTTCAAAGAAAAAATAGATGGTAAAGTCTTTAGAACGATTTATGATAGGCGCTTTTTGATAACACTAACCCATCTTGAGAAAACAGGATCAGCAGGTAAAGTTTTTGTTCCGCTGGAAACTTAAAAATTAAATTCTACCTTCGAAACTAGAAAAAGTTCACATTCTTACGCCATTTCCACGTTCGTATTTGGAGAGTTCTATTTACGTCACTTTCAGGAGATGAAATTCAATTGAACTCAAAAAATGCACATATACCTAAGTGCGTTCAGAAATGCATCAACATGTATGAATGCACATCTGTAGTTATTAGAGCATTTTAAGACAAAAAACCTGACAAAAACCAACAATGTCTATATAAGAGTCTTCACTACGTTCATTATTTTCAAGCAAATTGAACACAAAAAAATGACATAGTTTTTGATTTTTGAGCTCATGAAATTTATATCTTTCAGACTTTTAAAGCAAATTCAATCAAAATGTCTATTTGCTAAGACTAAATTGCTTGACAAAAAAGAAAACAACATCAAACAAAATGTTCCCTCGTTTTCTACAAAGTTCCGAACAAAAACACACTGAATAATCTGATAAAATGGAATCGACTGCTGAAAACTGGTAGTGGGTAAAAACATGACCAATAAACAGTTTTAAAAGAAACAATCAACGCAAGTTACGAGAAAAAAAGTACTTTGAAAAAAAAATCTCAATTTTCGAGTTTCAAAGAAAAAATAAATGCAGATAAAGCAATGAAAAAATTAGATCATTAAAAAAACTTTTATGTTTCTAGAAATTCCGAACAGTATTTTCAACTTTTGAGACTAGAAGTCAATCACGTTTTTTGCGACTTTACGCTTTCGCTCTTTGTTAGTGGAGTTTGCCTTCCTCTCAACAAAAAAAAATCAATTGAACTTCAAAATAAATCAAAATTCAAGCCGTGAAAAAGTGAGTTTGATAAATAAATTTTTATTTAAATTATAAAAATTACCAATTAATCTATTTTTTGATCATTTTAGCATTTATACAAATCTTACAATGTTGTAAAAAAAGATTTCGAGCTGACGCTGGAGTCCAATTGGCTAGTTTAAGCAAATCAGAACCAAACATTTTTTCAAGGACGGGGAATTGGGTACTTTGGGCGAAATGCATAAAAAAAACGTTTTTCAAATAGTTTAGTATATCATATTGCTTGCGCGGAGGATTCTTCAAAATGTATGCGAAAAAAATGTCTCAATATTTTCTTAATTTCTATCAGTTTTTCTTATTTTGAAAAAATCTGTGACAAAAAAAAATTGGTGCATTAATTTAATTGATTGAAACAACCATGTAGGAAGGAACGAATGTCAACAAAAGACCACAAAAATGTTGTCAGCCAATCATTTTTTCATAACTCCCAGTTAAAAGCTTTAGAAAAATGCTCGAACATCAGTCAGTCACGGACTGATTAATTTGTGTGGTTTCCGGGCCCGAAATGGGGGATTAATGATACGCACATCGCGACCCAAAGCAGATAAGTTGCGAACATTGCAACTCAAATTGGGAAATTTGCATTGCAAGATTCAAAAATCTTATCGCGACTTTGCACAATCTAAAACAGGTATGTTGCGACGATCGAGACTAACAATGGGTATTTTGCAACTATGGTAGACCGAAGTGTTTTGCGGGAATAAATTTATGTCACTCAGAAGAGTTATATTGCGACTTGTTTCGAGCGAACTGCTTTGCGGGTCTTCGCTCTGCCCTAAGAAGATATGTTCCGTCTTTGCGCGACTGAAATAATTTGCGAGACTTTTCACGGCCCAAATCAAATAAGTATTCATCAAGGCTTTTCAGAGCTTCACCAGAAAAATTGCATAAATTTTCATGATGCCACTTTTTATGTACTGAATACTTATTTTTTCTTAAAAAAATCTATTTTTGTATGCATTTTAGTTCTAGCTTCCCAACAGAAAAATCAAACTGAATATTGATACATGCAAAAAATTAAGAATTGTTTGATATTTTTTACCGCGAGATTTTTTCGTTTCAAAATTGTAAATGGACCCTCTTGAAACTTACAGTTTGTGGATTTTTGAGTGTTTGTTACTCAATGCATTATTCAGATGGAATATTTTTTTTTGTGCTCATATTTTTGAATTGAGATATTAAAATAATGATTCAAGTATCGTTTTTAAGCCACTTGTTCAACTTTGCGTGACCCATGCTGGGACTCTGTGCAAACAATTTTTAGCTATGTTGCAATTTTTTGCACGAACAATGTTGGATTTTGCGCGACGCATGTTGGGAATTTGCGCGACCCATTTTTAGCTATGTTGCTACTTTGCGCGACTCAAATCTCGGGCGGTAGTATCGAATTTTGGTCGCGGAAACTCCATTTCCGCGATCCAGTTCGGTCGCAATATAAGTCGCAGACCTCGGCCCTGGTTTGCTAAGTTGCTTTGGTGCATTCAGCCCCCCCCCCCTAAACTTGCATTGAATCCAGTGAGTCCGTTAAACTCGTCCAGTTTGGAAGTGGCCTGAGCCCAACCAGTGAGTGCCAGTCCCGCAATGCAGAGGAGGAGGACACAGATGTTGACGATCAGAATGAAGCAGATGGAAATCACTTTGCAACACATTCTTCTTGTTATTGATTATTAAATCCTTCTTATTCTTGTCGGTCGCTAACTTCAACCACTCATTCGTCGATGTATTTCTTTTTATGTATATATTTTTTACGGGGTTCGGCCCAAAAGATAGCTTCGACGTTGGAATAATTAACATTTGGCTTCTTAATCTGATAAAAAAACGCATTCACTACATAAATTATCATATATATTTGTCTACTTTTAATTGAAAATTGATTTTGAAACCCATCTCAAATTTGGAAAAAACATGGACAATTTTTTAGTATCAATGAGCTCATTATCTTAAAAAAATCACGGAAAACCTGAAAGTTGAGATTAATATCAAAATTTTTGATTCATTTGAAATAACGGAACAAGTCTTCGTAGTTGAAATTTGCTTTTCTGTCAATTAAATTGAATCCTATATAGAAATAGAAGGTTGAATTTTAATTTCTGCCAACAATTTGATCTATTTGAAATCTGTTTTTAAAGTTGATTCATAAAACTCAACCGGTTCATGGGCCAATAGAAATTTTTATAAAAGTCGATTAGCTGATTTTTAGCGGGAACTGTAAGATTCATTTTTGATTTTTGAGTCTTCGCTAACTTCGGCTGTAAATGAAACTTCACCAAACATATTTTTGATGCAAAATTTGAAACGGCATGTGCAATTAGAACTTGAAGAAATCTAATCAACTATCCATTATATCAAAGAGGCTCTATGAGACATTCTATACAATCTAGTTTATGTATATCAGTCTGAAGTACTCTGGAACTCGTGATGAAATGTGATTTTGATAATTTAGGACAGCAAATTTTAATGCTAGATGATTACAAATGTGAACCCTAAAAATCCCACGTTTGGTGACCTCGAATAAGTTTTAATTTATTAATTTATACATCAAAGTTAGTAAGGGAACATTGACGGGATGACAACCCGGGTTGACCAAAAATGCTTGTCATACAATTCTCATAAATGGGAAATTTTTTGTCATACAATTCCACGTACGTACAAAAAATTGTTTGAAATCTCTTTAATAAACATTTTCCCATAAATGGAAATTGTATAACAAACATTTTTGCCATAAATGGAAATTGTGTGACTAAAAAATGTCCTTTATGAAAATTTTATGACAAGCAGTTTTCGGAATTTTTTTTCAAATGCGGCACAAATTACATTAAAGCCAATCTAAAATGCCGTGCAATCTGTGAACAGCGAAAAAAACCTGAGAAAAAATTTTTTTTTTTAGAAGTTGCAATTTCTTTATTTTCTGCTTCTCAACTCTTTAGATAGCAGCAATGTCCTAATCATAATCTTAAGGGGGGTAGGTACTGTAGAGGGGGTTATATCAATTTAAAAAAAAAACCTGCATATCTGGGAGAAAGTTTCCGGCAAATCTCCCCAGCATCGCGTATCCACTGCATATTTTTACATTGACCTGTTTCAATTATTGGTTTGAGCTATTCCCTGTGGGAAGTGGGAAAGGAACTTTGTAATCGGGTGTTTTTTCATGCAAAACGAGATAGTGCAATTATAAATCAGGCCAATTGAGTGATATATCACTTAACAGCTCAGCTCGGTCAATTATTCCTTTATCATAAGGAAAAAAATGAAGAGCCATTTATGCCATTAATGAAAAAAAATCTAATTGAAAATGAGAACAAGACTGCCCGTATAATGAGGGCAAAGCCCTGAATGTTCCGACTATCCCTTTATTCATATCGAATAGCTTTAAGGAAAAAAATAATGAAAACCTGTTAATTTTGGACAAAATCAGTGTAAAATTTCGAGTCTTACGAAATTAATACGACCAGTTAGCTAGCCTCAATTCAATTTGGAACTATTTTGCTGTGCAGGATAATTCGCCACGCAAAAATAATTCGCGTTACGCTCTCAGCATTAAGAATAACTCTTAAAAGCGCACATAAGTTGGTCCTAAACATGGCCGTTTTGGCTATTTTCAAACCCACAGAACTTAACAAAAAATAATCGGTACAATATTTTTTTTTATTTGAACTCAGGAAGTCGATATCTTTTATGGGGTATAAAAAGATTTTGTTGAAAACTATTATTTCGATCGGCGAAAAATGACTGAATGAAAAAAAGCCACACCGAGCATAATTATTCCGTTATCTTCAAAAGTCGGCACAATTAACGAAATTTTCTGCTTGACTTAGAAGGTCTGGATTGTATTGTATATCCTCTTTAATGTTTTTTGTCCCAATTTTACGCCTGGATAACTAGTGTGGAGGTTCGATTTTTGTTGTGGGATACGCATTGATTCACTCCATAATGTTAATTTAAGCTCAACACAACAATAGCTTTCGAATGATAAAAAAAAGTCTGTCAAAAATGGCTAGTTGAAAAGTCCAAATTTGTCTGAAGAAGAAAAACCACCCCGAGCACAAACATTTCGTTAGTTTTGTATCGAAAGTTGCAGCAACTAGCTTGCTGAACCGTAGATTTTACTTGCGTTAATCGATTGCAATCTTAGTTTTGCTAATACGGGCAGCCTCGTACTCAAACGATTTTAAATCGGTTTAAATTAATCAGTACTTTAAAACACTACATGAAAATTATTCATCGAAAAAATAAAATTTGATTTGCAGATAATTTTGTGCTAATAATTGAGCTGGAAAAAAAATAAGATCAACTATTATGCAAATTTTGCGCGGGTAACTAAAAGATTTTAATCTCTGGGATTTAGAACATTTATTTAACGCTGCACAAAGGCACACTAGTTAATCTTAAAACTTCTCAACAATTCTGAACACAATTTTTCGTAATATCATTAAAATAACGTTTTGCTGTTGAGAACATGAATGATTATAATGAAATCGGGAAACGGGTTGAGAATCATATAATGAAGCTAGTTCTGAAAAAAAACAAGTTAGTTCGTTTCACATGTGTGACGGATAACGCGCGCCAACTTTTTTCTTCGAATCAAAACAATAACTTGTTCAATGCATCTGACATTTAAAAGACAAAAAGAAGAAATGTGTTGGGTTCATCTGCTCACAGATTTGGCCCTGCTTTTACCCCTCGGATTGCATGCCCAAATTGACCGGATAGGCGGTTTGTGGTATTCAATGAGAGGGAAACGCCTTAAATGCTATAGTGAACTAAATAAATTTGTAACTGGCTTTCCCCATATTGACAATAAAGCAAAAGTTATAGTAAAAAATGAAAAAAAAATCTTCTAAAAAGTTTTTTCTAATTATTTGTGACAAAATAATACGCAAATTTATACTTAAAACCTTCAAAACGTCAAAAACTTAAACTTCAAAGTGAGTTTTGACCTTTGCTCTGTACTCATAGATTATTTTCAGATAAGGTACTCCGTCTGTTCGTCACGCTATTATTTTCTCATCTTATTTTATTTTACATCGAAAGTTGGAAAAACTAGCTTGCTGAACTGTAGACTTTACTTGCAATATCCGGTTGCAATCTTAGTTTTGCCAAAACCTATAACAAAACAGAGCCTGTCAATTTTACAAGGTCATGTATTGGAGCGAAAAGTGCTAATTTTAGGCAGTAGATTTCATGATGCTTGAACCACGTAAAAAAAATTGAGCAGTTCAACACTAGCAAATGTGGGAGAAACTGTAGAAGAACATGGGTCAATTCAAAAACGCGAAAAAGTTTAGGTCAATTTTAAATTGATTTACTTTGATCTCTTTTAGAAAACGAAAAAAAAATGTATCAGTTGTAAATCGACTTAAAGCGATAATTTTTGTTTCTTGTAGTTAGTAGTTCTTAATTTTTGTAGTTTTGTGGCTCTTTATCCTTAAACCCCTTCAGCGAATTTTTACTCTGAATTTTCTCGGTTCTGATTCTCCGATTGTTACAAAATTGGAATGCGATTTTATTAGGCTATGACAATCATGTTTGGTCGTCACATCTAACTTTGTAAAACCCCTCGTTACTCCAGAAAATTGATGTTTTTGTGAGGTGGCGGGGGGAAGGGAGGTTTCGGAAAGTCATTGGAAAGTCTGAATTATTTATAGAAAAGATATTTTATGATTTGCAGATAATTTTGTGGTAATAATTGAGCTGGTAACTATAAGATCAACTATTTTGCAAATTTTGCGCGGGTAACTAAAAGATTTTAATCTCTGGGATTTAGAACCTTTATTCAACGCTGCACAAACTCACACTAATTAATCTTAAAACTTCTTTTCAGTGGTGTACAATGTAAGGATTCCGAACACAATTTTTTTTAAAATCAATAAACTAACGTTTTCCTGTTAAAAACATGAATCATTATCAAGAAATCGAGAAACACGTTGTGAATCATATAAGGAAGCTGGTTCTGACAAAAAAAACAAGTTCGTCTACTCACATGTGTAGCGGATAACGCGTGCCAATTTTTTTCTTCGAATCAAAACAATAACTTATTCAATGCATCTGTTTTTTGAAACACAACAAGAAGAAATTTGTTCGGTTCATCTGCTCACATATTTGGCCGTGCTTTTAACGCTCGGATTGCAGGCCCAAATTTACCGGATAGGCGGTGTGTGGGTTTCAATGAGAGGGAAGTCTTTTCTAGCTTACAAAACGCCATAAATGCTATAGTAAACTAAATAAGTTTATTACTTGCTTTCTCCATATTGCCAAAAAACAAAAATAATATTAAAAATGAAAAACAGTTTTTCGGAAAAGTTTTTTGTAATTATTTGTGACAAAAATATAGGCAAATTTACACTTAAAAACGTCAAAAGGTCAAAAATTTAAACTACAAAGTGAGTTTTGACCTTTGGTCTGTACCTTTTGGTCTGAGTTTTGACCTTTAGTCGAACACAATTTTTTTAAATATCAATAAACTAACGTTTTCTTGTTAAGAACATGAATCATTGTCATGAAATCGGAAAACACGTTGTGAATCATAAAAGGAAGCTGGTTCTGAAAAAAAAACAAGTTCGTCTATTCACATGTGTGGCGGATAACGCGTGCCAATTTTTTTCTTCGAATCAAAACAATAACTTATTCAATGCATCTGCTTTTTGAAACA